TTTTTTACTTGAAAAGATTAGTTCATGAAAGCAAAAGTAGAATAAAGTTTTATTCTCGACTTATTAGCAAATTTAGCGATGACGTTCTTCTTTATCAACTTGCCATCGTCATACGAAAACTAATATTCTAAATTTGAGGTAAATTTAAAATTTTCGAAAAAAATTGGTGCAAAATAGATGAAGGCATAAAAAACCACTCAGCAAAATTTGTCCATATTCGTGGTTGAATAAATAAATTACGACTTAATGGGATTGTCCCATGCAGAGCGGTGAATATGCATAATCTGCTTGCAAAGAATACTTGGATGGCAGACGCATCAACCCACGCATGGGGAGTAATTTCCCGGAATGGCAGTGGATTCGATTATATGTGCAATCCTATTAGAAGGCGTTATGAACAGCGCTTGAGTGCATCCACTTGGAGAAGAGTAAAGATCAAAGTGGACTGGACTTGGGGAGGAGGGTTGGCGATGGGGTATAGTGGGAAAAATTCAAACATATTGCAACACAGAAATGTAGCAAGAAACAGGGCTCGGCAGGAGATGGCTTTTGGAAAATGCAAAAAACGAAGTCCCCCTTAACTTTCGCGATTTTTTACGAAGTTCCCTGTGACCCTAAACCCTAAAAAACTAAACGTCAACTAAAGAAAAGTAACAATTTTGTATCTTTTAGGCCTCAAAAACGATTCCCCTTTTTGTCCCAGAAACGATGTCCAGCTTGCTTGCAAGACACCTGTGCCGATCCCTGACAAAAAAGGGTGGTCCCACCGTAGGACAAGTTTATACAGCTTAAAGGCACCGTCCACCCAGATTCTCGTCTTACAGGTTCTTGCTGTTTCAGGGCCTTCTCATGTTTCTGATTCCGAATATGAAGTCGAGAATCCGCGAAAACCTCGACAATCTCCGTTCCGGAGAACTCACAAACCGGCTTTGAGGAACAGTGATTGGTTGAGCGCGCACGGATGGGTGGGCATGGATGGGGTAGGGGGGGGGGGGGGCATGGATGGGAGTCCTCGCGCATCTTCGTTATTCCGAAGCGATTTTTTCGCTTTCGAAGCGATATTTTGCACTGCGACTTGGGCATTGGCTTGATAGGAGGCCCTACTACAATACCGCTCACAGAATGTGCGAAATTCCCAGAACCTCTCTGAATTCCGGGAATTTCGCGACATTCACGGAAATTTTGCAAGTTATGTGTGTGGTACTGTATCATATGCTGCTAAAAGCTCAAGACTCTCAACTCAGGGTGGACGGTGCCTTTAAGAAGCTTACTGCTTTTTGGGTCTTTGCTTTTGTCTTCTACAAAATTGTTTGAAGCCTTGGCTCATTACTGACGACTCTGCAATTTTTGAAGAGAATTTAGCACGGATTTGTGATGATTTGCTTCCTCACTTGCATTATACCGATCTTAGCAATAAAGGGGACCTGTTCATTAGAAAACCAATCATATTCCAAGGCCTACGAAGAAGTAGGATTATCGATAACGTTTTTAGAAAAGTGCCACGGGTTGGAAGTGGCGCAAGCTATCGTCATTAGGTTATAAAGGTTTCTTGGAAAAATAGAATTTTGGAGTGACGGAGTCCTTAGCAATAACTTCAGAAACATTTGCAGCTTTGAGCTTTAAATCCCGGAACTGACTAGAAAACGACAAACTCTCAGTTTTATGTTGCCAGTAATCCCCGAGGATGAGCAAAAATCAATTTTTGTTTCGGATGATGTCAGCCTTGATTGACAACAACGCCAAAGCACACTACGTCATTACTCAAGTTCGCTACTGGCCATCAAAAACATAGTATATCAGTCGCTTTGACGTTTGTGAACCATTCAAAGTCAGAAGAGTTTAACTAAACGAGTATGAAGAATCAGAATCAATAATAATAACGCAAGAAGACCCGTAATTCTTGGGTGTTTATTGGCTAGCACATAACCCGAAGTATAAATTTTTTTTGCAAAAGAATAGAGCGCAGTATTTATTAGTTCCGAAAAGAAAAAGATGAGCTTATTATGGAACCGTTGACAATGCTATCGATGATATAATTCGCAAAAAAAGAAGTGCCAGTTTTAATAGACATATACACTTTTAAATTCCTTCTCCTTCAAGTTCTTTTTATCTCTGTTGATATCTTGAATGCCCTTTGCGTTGCTCAAAATCTTGAAGGAGTAAATGAGGCCGCTTTTCAGAAGTCTCGCCCTAACAATAAGAATGGTCATTTTCACGAGCGGTAAGGAAGTGATCAGTTTTGTTAACAAATTCGTTCTGCGCAAAAATAATTGACTCTAACTCGCTTTCCTGAGATATTAAGGAGTGACTACCGCCATTCTAATATTTATAATTCCGATATTTTGAACTATTTAAGAGTGAACTAGCTGAAGCTAAGTCCTCCACATAAATTTTTTTTGTGCGGAATTTTTATACCGGAAACTGCTCTTATTGCTACATGCACATAAGATAACCTTTGTGGTTGAAATTTACTGCAGCAAAAGAAGTTCAGAAACAAGCGTTTATAATGTTTAGAATGTTTAGATATTTGCGCTTTTAAAAGTCAAAATTCAAGTTCCGAATCAGTGAGTGCATGGGTGCATGGGGGTATGCACTTATTACTTCATCGAGGATTCGCTTTAGAGATATCCCTTCAAAGCCGTTAGTGAAATGCTAGCTGTGGCCGTTGAAGAGGTTAATTGTTGTGGGAATACGACTGGATATTGCTTTGCGCGTAACAAACATCAAATGAACGCCTTGCTGTTAGAGGGCGGATTGAATGAGATGTTTTGAGAAGGAATAATTTTTACTGGAATTTTTTTAACCACTTGTAATCTACACATCTCAGGAGGGACTCAAAAGTTCGGAAAAAATACTATGTCAAAGAAATGCAACTTTTTGCTTTTTCAGTAGAATATGAATAAAATTGCTCCGTACTAGTGGATTTCTGTCTTGTTTGTGGATACCATCTGATTCCATCGTCATCGAAATTCTTCTCGTTCTTGTCTTTTTTTGATCAAGATCCGTCCATTATTCATGAAAAAAGAAGTGCGATTTTTCGATGAAAAGATCGGCGGCGCATCGCATGCGTGAAATCTAGATTGAATGGCTTATCTCGTGTCAAAAAAGTTTCTAAAAATTAACGTACCATTGCACCATTGCAAGAGGTTCCGCTACCAAATTTGTCTAGTCTAATATTTTGGCAACCTACAGTTGTTCAACGGAATGGAGCGAATAGAAATCCTTTTAGAAATTTATAACATTTTAGTAGGCTCCACATGCAAAAATCTCGACTAACAATCTTTCTGTGAGAAATTTACTTTTCGATTATCTGTTCGCTTACGCTTGATCGTTTGTCAAAGTACGAGATAGTTCAGTAAAATGGTGCTCAAAAGGAACAAAGCACCACAGTAGAAATGCTGCCATTTGATGAACTTGCTCCATTATCGGTTTCGAAATTTATTTATTTACTAGCTGGCAAACCCGGCTTTCCCACCCCCTCCCCCCCTCCCCTGTCAATAATATCTTCGTAAGTAACATGCTTACATATCTCCACCCCCTGTACAGACTCCTAATCCCCTAACTCAAATTTTTGAATCGATGTCGATCGATAGCGTAGTCCACGACACTCCCCCCTCCTCCCCCCGTATGTATGCATGTATCTTGTCCTACAGGAGCGTGTGGGCCATTTTGACCGAGTGGGCGGGGTTTCCAACGAAGTGGGCGGGGCTTGCCATGAGTGCGACTGGCCAAATGTTGAAGTCTAGGGAGGTTGCGCGGTCATCTAGTGCCTCTTCCATGCACTTCGTGCATGAAAAGAGGTTTCTAGAGAGCTGCGGAGGGGGCGGGGTTTCCAACGGAGGGGGCGGGTCGGCCAAAAGGGATGGTCGGCCGCCAACGAACCTCAATGCACTTTGACCGAACTCAATCGAGCGATTGGGCGCGACAATACACTATATAGAAGGTGATGGGTTCGGGTTGTAGATGCTCTCCTTGTAGACGTCCCTGGTGGCAGGGACCATGTCAGAGTGCAAAAATGGGGTTTTCCCGGCTCGGCGGCCGGTTTAATAACTCAACTTTTTGAAAAAAAATTTGGGCATAGTTTCTTTTTGCATGTAAGTGAACGTATAACGTGTGCGTGACAAGATTTGTCGGATTGGGTCAGAAATGGAATTTTCTATTCGGAACATACGTACAGACAGACAGACCAGACAGACATACAGACATACGATTACAGACATACAGACATGCGATTACCGACATACAGACATTCAGACACGCAGACATACAGACATACAGAAACATACAGACATATAGACACACAGACAGACAGACAGGTCTTAATCACTGTTCGATCTGTAGCTTGCGAATTTTGATTTTCGAAGCTCAACTGCGTGTCAAGTAATGCGCCGATTTTTTCGCGGCTCATTAGTGTTCGTGAACCAGTTTTTTTGTGCGATCGGGAGCTTCTGCTTGCTTATTTTTAACGAGGAATGGAGTACATTTATGCAATGCATAAAGAAAGTGCCATATAGACAACAAATCCTAAAACGACATATCTACCTTTACTTTTTCAAACTGCCTGATAAATATAGCAATACAGTACTCAACATAAGCAGTAGCCGTAATCTTTCATTACATAGAGATCGTTGTAAAGACTTTCTAAGCTCGGAATAGAGAAGCGAAAATGAGAGTAATGCAACAGTATGTTCGGATGGTTACAAAGAGTTGGAAATAGGTAAACCTACCCTAATTTCACGAGTACGGGGGAATTTCTTCTAAAATCGAACAGCATTTACACCAAAAAAAACTATATGCAGTGCTGCATATTGCCTGTATCGTGAGGCATAAATCTCGTTTTCCAAAATAAAGCAAGGAGGCTGATCGGCTTGCTTGGAAATCGAAAAAGGTGCTTCCTACACTACTGAAGTCAGGGTACATTTATCTATACTACGTCTAATTTAGCAAATTTTCTTGGCTCTCTAGGAGCTACGCTTACTTTTCGAAATTACAATTACTCATTAAAAATCATCACAACCGTAAAAGTTTGTTGAGGAACCGCGCCTACGTTGCTCGAACTTTCTCCCAATGTTTTCCTTGTGGTTACCATAAAACATATGATCGCTATAGAATGTTATGTTTAGAAGTTCTTTGCGAAGCGGTTTTAGCGCAGTAAACTGATTAAGCTTGACGAACACGATATCTGCAGATCGAGTCAAAAATCCTGTGATGAATACATCGTCAATCTGAAACTAGTCATTTTAATAATTACCACAGTATGTGTATGATAACGCCGACCCAGAAAAAACTCTGTTCCGGAACAACTTCTAACATTGGCATGAGAGCATCCTTGTGTATTATGTAAGCTACACCAGAACAATAGGGTGGGAACTTCTCTTGTGGATATTCATCGTAACTAGTGTACCTGTGTGTCGTCTTTTTAGAGTTGTAGAAGCATGCGAATTATATTAGAGTAGATTTTTGGCTCAATATAGTGTGTTTGCACTGAAGGTGAAATGCGGTAAGATTTGCGCGTGAACAAGTAGCCACGCGGGTAATGCCAGCCTTTTGCGCGCGCATATGGCCGGCGTCACGGGCGCAGCTATTTGTTCACGCGCAGATTTTACCGCATTTCACCTTCAGTGCAAGCACACTATATTAAGCGGAAAATCTACTCGACTGTACCACTAGAACTCACCACTTGCTCGTTGGTTTACGAACAGGCAAGCGATCATCATATCTAAAGATTTGAATTATCTCCTAACATCCATAAGTAACCTTCACCTACTTGTAGCATGAAATCGATCTAGGAAGAATTTGCTTGATGTAGTTCGCCACTTTTGGAACGTTCCACGCTACATCGTCATCAATTTTCATAATTGCCTCTACTGTTGGATACGCAACGGCTGCGTAACGAAGTGCCGATAGAGTCTGTAGAAAAAAAGAAAGTTGAGAAGAATTTGTTCGTGTTCTTACCTTAAGCGATAGGTTGTTGTACGACTCTAGATAATCACCCTGAAGAATATCGCCAAACAAGTTTAACTCTTCTTCGAGACGCACAATCTCAGCACTGTTATGAAGGAGTCCAATGGGGAAAATAGCACAATAACGAAACTAAATGATGGAATAAGGTAACTGAGATTGATATTGGGCATCATTTTCTATTATATAATAGATTGAACTGTGACATTTTCGGAGTGCGGCATCTAGCGGAAAAAGATATGTCTTACGGAATAAAAAAGCGTGCTTGTCCGAGGTTGTCGAAGATTGCGAATGTAATGTAAGTTATACAAAAACAGCATGTATGAACTTTTACCACTTTGCAATTCATCTTTCTTGAACAGCGGCTAGGTATTCATTCTCGATTCCTTTTTTGTTTTATCTCTTCCTTGATGTTTCATTTGATAACATCCTCTCTTGACAGACTGCTTTTTCTTCGCATACGGTAATCCGAATTGTCACGTTTTGACTAGCCCATCTAACTCATCGCTTTGTTTTCACTGTCCTTCGTAGAAACGGATGTTTTTGAATAGGTCTTTTTTAGTTTTTAATTGAATCAATTTGGTGCGCAGGACTTTTCTTCCAAAAGTTCTGTGCTTATTCTATTCATAACGTATGTGTGCGTTTAGTAAACGAACTTAATTTACTGTAGGTCATTTCTAAATACGTACGAGAATTTGACTGCTTCCTTTGCGCCTACAGGAGCGTAAAATACTCAAGAAGGGATCATTTCAGCGCTTAGTTTAGTCGCTTCAGTGTCTTCATGCGTAAACAGAGCATTCAAGTAGAGATGTAAACCAAGAAAATACGGTTACCGGAAGCATAGGTGCGATAGTGGGAATGATAGGGACCCCTCCAGGTAAAGGGTGTTTTGTCTCTTTTCCGACCTAGAAAAGTAAGGGGTCTAAACCTTGCAAGCACCGTCCACCCGAATTCTCGACTTCCATGATTTTGTCGCTTCCGTGCCTTCTGAAAGCCTGATTTGGAATATGGAGTCGAGAATCCGCGAAACCCCCAAAAACTCTCGTCTCCGAGAAGCGCGGAATGCAAGCCGCGGAGCTACGGCGCTGATATACGCCTGGCGCATCATTTGCAAACCTGCAAAGTGGGCGGAGCGTCCAGCTGGGCCGAGTGACTAGGCCGGATTACGTCCCTTCCGGAGCGCATTTCTCGTTCCGGAAAGCAATCTTCTGCTGCGCAACTTGTGGGTTCCCATGCTAGTATGCCATCACAACCTCGTCAACCCCACTTTGGGTGACGGTACCTTTGAGATGAATGCTGACGCAGGCTTACATTTTTAACGGGAGAGGGAGTGAAAAGAAGGAAAAGTGGTACAGAGGTGTAATATGAACATTTTCACAGGCTTAGGCGGAAGGTCATCCAATGGAGACTTTTTCAACTCGGAAAAGCTTTATGTTTCATTAGTCGACATACTATTCGAAGGCTTGGAATACTCAAAATGGACATAGACCGTCCCTTTTTTTCCCAGCTTCCCTGTGAATTCAGATATAAAAATCATATCTAGCTGCAGTATCAGCTGATTTCTTGCAATCACTTGCTCTCCTTTTCTGAAAGAAAGAGGAAGTTGAAGAAAAAGAGACCATCTGCGTTTACTGGCGAAGTCTTGCTCCGTAATAGGGTTAAACTAGTGAACATCTTCACTCGCCATTTGCATAAAAATTTTCTCACAAAAACACACATGTTTTTTAGCTAAAATGTCATGTTTCTCTGAGTAGAGGAGAGCTAGAGAAAAGGGACAGTCTACGTCGTAATCCCTGTTTCGTGAGCTTTCTAATGGTTTACAGGTTGTTGAGTGAAAGGACTCGTGTCTTTTAAAAAACGAGGTGGAGATATTTAATATTAGCTTGCCCCACCTCGCTCGTGGCTTGTGTGGGTCGCCTGGGCAAGACTTTTTGGACTGAGAAAGCTTTGTGAACACTTCGTATACCATTTGATAGCTATGAACACGAGGAATCGACGCAGGCTGTCTATTTTTTCCTAGCTTTTCGTGAAGCGAGCAGTTTTATCTGCTACAAAATCCAATTCTGGGTAGTTATCTCATGCTTCATTTTTGAAATTAAAGTCTTTTTCAAAGTTTTATACATGATTCGAAAGTTTGAGAAACGTATAAATTCAGTTGTTCTTTCATTTGTTAAACTCTCTTCGGTGAAAAGAGATGTGGTACGATTCTTGTCAGCAAACATGGATCCACCACTTGCCAGTCTAGATTCTCTACTCTTGCTCAACTCTTTCTTCCGACAATGAGTATTCACTGATACAATGTTAATTATTCAAAAAATCAAATATCCTTTTAGTTGGTTATGTCTCGTTATCAACGCCACTTTGAGTGCGCAGGAGATCTTAAGCATGCGTGTAACAAAACGCTGTTGCTTCGATGCACTCTTGCAGTCCTGATGTCTGAAAAGAAGAGCTATTGGTGTTCCCATTCCAAACAAAAAGTGCCGTTGTAGCAACTAACTATTTAATTCTGCCGTTATGCTTTTATTCTAGTCTCAACCTCAGGTAAAAGGGATCAGCCAGATGCCGTCCCTAAAGTGAAGGGGTCAGAGAAATTTTTCCAGCTATCGCTTCTAAGAGCGGAAGTGCGTGCGTGGCTCGGTTGCGCCATCGTCACAACATTTCGAATGCTCTATAATATATGCAATTCCAGGAAAATTAGGATTTTTTCAATCTGTTCTTTGTTTCTAGCGAAAAAAGTGAATAAGACGCTCGGCGTTTTTCCATCTGAGATTTTCGACAAACGTTTTTGTCATACATATAAATTGGTTTCGTTTTTCTTAACTTGCTCATGGCGGACTGACATGACAAATCAAAGTCACCATCATGCGGTTACCGCATAACGGCATTCTTGCGAATTTTGATTTTTGAATATGTAAGAATATAATATAATAATATAATGTATATGTAATATTTATGTTGGCTAATGTCGGACTAAGAAAGTGATAAGTATCAGCTCCAAGTATTCTGCATCTTCACAGACGCCATCCAAAGCTTCAAAAATGATCTACTTACTCTGTTTCTTATACCCCGTCCACCATATACATGGCGCCAAAAAGCTCTTTGTTCGAAATCATTTGGCTTTGTAAAGACCAATACCAGAAATTTCTTGTGACAACTGCCGATTGATGGAATGTGAAGATAATTATTAGGACGCAGTAACTAAATAAAGTCATTTCCTTGCCAAATACAATTGGACATTGAAATATACTGGATGTTTGTATGGCTTCTCTCCAAAAATGTTGCTGATAAGAGTATTTACTGCTCTAGTGTTGGACCTTAGGGTCTTCGACCGTCGTTCCTGAATGTAAGTGCAGCTGGAAAGCAGGAAAAAAGCGACCAGTACCTCCTCCAAATTGCTTAAAATAGCATCGATCAAAGCGGCACCGAGTAAGATAGCGGAAAGTATAAAAATTACTAGTAACAAACTTTGCCAGCATGTACTTCTGACATATTTAAGAAGATGCAGCATTTACTTTCTGAACGAGATATTGCGAAGCACTGTAAAGCGAAGACATCAAATTGGATTCTTACCAAAGTAACACTTTCAATAGTAAGCCATCAAATGCAGGGGCAAGCACGTTCGCGGAACGGGATAATTAGCTGACAAATCACCCAGATGCACTTTTCATGGAGCTAACGCGAAAACTGTCGTTCCAGCCAAGAGATCGTGGATGCCTAGGCTGGATTGGAGTGGATGGAGCTTGTGTATGGTTCCGTCCTGTTATAGTATCTTCGCATGTAAGATGGATAAACTGAATAAAGAAAAGTCCTTATTTGCAAATTATTTTGAAAATTTATGCTGTGGAAAGGGTGTGTGCGCCTAAATGAAAACCTGATTCTAAGAAAGTGTATATAAGCATACTATTTGATTGCAAAAGCAACTATTTTTTTCTAACACTGTAAAGTGGCTATTTTCCACTGCGGGTCGCAATAACTGCATTGAAGTATCGGCGAGACACAAAAATTTGTTTTACTCCTTATCCACAGCGGATCTGTCGTTCCTACGTTATGCTCGTTGCACATCGAGCGAGATCTTATTAGGCTGATTTACGATTGACGCGATGCACGATTCGATGGTTTTTATGAAGTCCACGTCAAATTGGGCCAAGAAAGCTTGAGTATCTTTGAGCTGTTGTGAAGTGCGACAAGAAGCAAAAAGTTTGCCAAATCAATTTATGCAACCATCGATCTCCTCCACTTTTTTCTTTTGGGCAGATACTGAGTGTTAACTGTTAGCCTAAATTTGATTGGATACACCTCCGAATGATGGGTCACAATTAGCCTTACTGATCATCGAGGCGCAGTGACAGCTAAGGTGGATGTCAAAGGCACAAATTTCGAGTGAAGTACTTTCACAAATTTGTAAAAGAAGCGCATAAGATCTGCATCTGTATCATAAGGAGTAACCGGTGCTGGGTGGGGCGCACGTTCCGCGCAATCCCCCCCCCCCGCCTGGCCTCTGCACCTGCGAGCATGCTCTAATCAGAGAACGCTTAGTTAGCGACTGAAGCTCAGCCTTTCCCACGCTCATGGTGGAAAAGTGATCAGAGCGACACGCTCACGAAAGAGGTATAAGGGCCTGCAGGATCGCGAGAGTCGGACGTGCGTACGGCCAGTGCGCCGCGCACGTCTGGTGTCACTAAGACAGATGCCAGATTCGGTTCATAGGTCAAATCACTACACTGTCCAACAGCAAAGGTGGTGAACCAAATGAACCTGTTCAACAGGTTAAGTCTGGCACCTACCTGAGTCGTCGGACGCACATCTGACGTGCGCGGCGCAATGGCCGTACGCACGTCCGACTCTCGCGATCCTGCAGGCCCCTATAAAGCCCATGCAAGGTAGTCGTGCGAGACCCACGAACCCCCTCCCCCCCCCCCTCCCTCCAGCACCCGTCACTCCCAATGATATAGAGGATATTTGTAGAAATCTATATTCCATTGAGAAAAAATGGCATACTAACTTTGGAGGAAGAATAACTTGCAGAACACTAACTACAAATACCTTAAATGGATAAACACTGTAGGAAAACAATAAGCAAACTGTGCAAATTTGTACCGAACCATAAACCGCAGCAGTGAACCATTTCTTTACTCATATGTAAGGAAAACGAACGGGGCACAGCCGATGAAAGGCGAAACAGCAAACGTTATGATAAAAACAATATAAACTGTGAGACATAATGGAATTTAGGATGCAGAAAAACCACTGAGGAAATGCAACTTGGAACCCAAAGCTAAAAACTGCACAACATCAAGTTGACTGCATCAAATTTATAACCTGAACAAAATATTCTTCGTATGGGCTCCG